CGGCAATTTTCGCTGTTACACTTGAGTAGAGTATATCCAGCTGACGACGCCTAATGAGGAAAAAATGGCCATTCTAGATTCTCTGTCTTAGGTTAATATGTCCTAAAATAACAAAATGTTACTGCAACTTAGTAAGTAACATTACAATTAGTCATGTGGCAAGGTTCGGGGGATCCCGAAGACACTGGACATCACAAACCATGGCGGGTGTGCTCTGTATCTGATCGGTTTACGCCTATCCACTAATGGTTTACAATGTTCACAGCATTGTACACCTACCAGACGATGTCAAAAAACATGGTCCACTGGACAGTTTTTTCTTTTTTCCTTTTGAGAGTTTCTTAGGTAAAATGAAACGTATGCTTAGGATGCCGTCGCAGCCGCTGCAGCAAGTTTTTCGTCGATTAGGCGAACTGCAGACAGGGCGGCGTCCCTTATCACGGCAACTGGAGTGGAATTTCAACGATAAGCATCGTAAAGGTCCCCTACGACCAGCTTACGTCTATCATTAAAGGTAGACTTATGATTGGCACAACGCCCTCTGAGGGCTCAATTGCTGTAGATGGTAAGTTAATTTGCGTGAAAAATACTGTCAGCTACCCGTCCGGTGAGGTTGGTTTAGTATACATGGAATACCAAAATGCTGAGGATTACATTGACTACCCTGAAGACTTTCATCTAGATGTTAAAGCTAGTATGGGGAACAAAGTGAACAGCTGTCTACTGCCGTCCTCGTTCCGGAAGTATGTAAGTTTCCCAGTTGACGGTCACTACGTCCTAAATGAAATCACTGGACGTTGTGACTGCGACGACTGGCAACAATGAGTGTAAATTCAGTACGTCGGACAGTACTTTCGCAAGGTAACCCACCTCCCCCCTTTTCTTTTTCACCAAACGGCTCCCCTTATGGGTACTGCCCCCCACCTGTGTTCACACGGCGGAGCGGGCCGTTCGTCACCTTCTTCTGGCAGCAGCAGGTCACCAAATACCGAACGGTCGCATTTCCATACTCCGCCCTAACTACCCACTTGAAGCCTCCCGAGTGGAATGAGAGAGAGACGACATTCAAGCGCGAGATGAAAATGACCCGCGTGTCGGCGAACTCAACGGTTTGATTACCAAGACCATCAACGACGACAAACGGGAACGTTGGTGTGAAAA